TGATTGGCTAATTTGCTGCAGCCTGCCACGTGTGGCTATCCCATTCGCTGAAGCTCTGCGCGCGTTAGTCCAGAAATTCCTTTTTTTTTATTCTGATTTAAGTGGGGCTCAGGCTTGCACTGTTCATCATAAATTCTGCCCAAGACTTGGGCATTTTAACACTTTGCCCACAGGCTTTGTCATTTCAGCCCACCATTATAACCCTTATTTCTCCCTTCTTGCTCACAAATATGCCCATGAGCATATTTTTACCCCACCATTGGTAGAGCTCCAAGGAACATAATATCGATCCAAAAAATGCGGACTAAAGAGGAAATATATGGAACTTTAGGGGAGTCTGCTGCTCCAAGCCCCCTACAGTTCCATGCCGCTGTATTCATGGATGAGCAGGTGGCTCAAAACGGGGAACCACCATACCCTCAGATTCAGAAAAGCTGCCACAAGTTCCACCCTCACTACCACCTCTGCGTTTCTTAAAAGGCTTCAAACAAGAAAGAAGGGAGCTACTGTCTTCATCTTCAAGCGGGGAAGTAACCGGTTCCTGAACCATTGCTGCTCTTTTGCCAGGACAAATCTCCTTTACCCAATTCCAAACCCTATCACCCTTTCTTGAAAGCTTCAGACATAGCGGTTTCTTTCCCCTGTTCTTACCATTGGTTGAACCGGAATAAACCGAAGGAGAGAAATGCGGAGAAACAGATTGAGCCGGCGAACAATCCATAGGAACAGGGATATCATCAATCCTAGGTAAAGAAGGCGAACGAGCAGGCTCCACCGGATCCACATTCGGCTATTGATCAAGCTCCATAGATAAACCAAAAGCCCCTGATGAAGAATCAGCGATATACCCAGATTCCTCAGCATTCGATGCCGAAATAGAAGAAGATAAGGTAGGGGAAGGCGAAGGCGAAAGCCTGAACATATTCAAAAAATCCCTCCATAATCGACAAAGAACTCATACCCATCCAATTACTACATCCTGCTCCATAAGGATCCGAAAATACCGAACCCGACGGCCCTAAAGGAGTTGACGTGTCCTCGGTAGAATAATGAGATGTCATTGTGGGATAAAAAGTAACAGGATTTTGATGAAAGATTAGATAAGGTAGCATCACCGTTCCATGAGATTGAAGATGAGAACGACCCATGTGATTACTTTGAAGTTGTTGGTTGGGAATTGGTACATCTTGCCACGTGCCTTGATACCCCTCTCCATGGGAAGAGGTGAATCGGTGGGGAGCACGTGAAGGTTGCTGACGTGGCACTGGCACCACAAACGCTGTTCGTTCAGCCCTAAGAATCCCCTGATTTCGCTTCCAAACTTCATCTTCTTCACTATGGTAACCACCAGGTTGTGGATTTGGAAATAAACCAGGAATCGATCGACCCGGAAAAGCCTTCGACACAGGAGTATCGATAATGCCTGCTCCAAGAATTTGTCTGTCCGATGGGTGTGAATTAGCCGAATACTCCGACGGATGATCATCATCATCATCCCCAAATCGCAATCTCCGGAGTGGGAACGATACCTCGAACAGCATTTGTAAGTAAAGGAACATCCGTTGGACCAAATAGAACAGTTACGAAAGCGACGTTCCAAGTAAAAATTAATGTCATCTTGTTCTTTGTAACACGTAGTTCGACCGTGTACGCCAAAACCGCACTTTTTGCAAAATCTGAATATTCCTTCATATTTAAATCGAACCCACGTAGCTCGATTGCCATAGGTAGGAAAATAATAACCTGGTAATAGGCAAAGAAAGATCTACAAACAATCTGATACGAGGGCGCGAAATAGGAAACTCACCTCGGAGTTCTTCTCTATTGGTGACCTCTCCCACATGTGCTAAAACTGATTCCGCCACCATCGGTGTGGAATACTGAATTGATAAACCTTCAATCGCGACTAGGGGTGGTTATTGGGCGGGTCAGTGCGGGTCATTAGCAAGACGGGTCGGTTGCGGGTCATGATGAATATTTGGCGGGTCAGGGTTGGGTCAGAGTCAATACGGGTCAGGGTCGGGTCAGCGTCAAGGTGAAAATGAAACGGGCAATTAACGGGCCTTTACCCAAATTTAATATGTCTAAAGCATCCTAATTAAACTACGTATGGTGCACATTACTATACACAAATGCCAACTATTTGAGAATTATCTCTGTTCGTCATATGCAAACTCATCATATACAAACTATTCAATTCTTTAAAAAAAATTTAGTTCTTCAAAATTATCATCAAAATTAAAACTCGAAGTCATTTCAACAATCAAATCAACACTAGGACAACATCATAACAACCAAATTTAACACAATTATCAATAAAATATCACAAAATTCTCGAGTTAGAGTTCTAACAAGAATCATTAGCAATCGCAAATAGCAACCAAATTTTAATCCGATTTTTATTCAATAATCCAGCGAAACCACATCAAAATTAAAACTCGAAGTCATTTCAACAATCAAATCAACACTAGGACAACATCATAACAACCAAATTTAACACAATTATCAATAAAATATCACAAAATTCTTGAGTTAGAGTTCTAACAAGAATCATTAGCAATCACAAATAGCAACCAAATTTTAATCCGATTTTTATTCAATAATCCAGCAAAACCACATCAATAATCGCTGATTAAAAAAACAACATCCAGTTTAAATCTAGCTCAAAATCCTCAATAAAATCATCGTTAACAGAGAGATAAGAGAGAGAAGCGTACAACAACAGTTTCTTGAAGAGAAACAGTGAGGATGGAATCAGCGGAGAAGGAGGCATCAGCGGAACTCTGAGTGCGCTTCAATGGAGAACTTTGAGTGCGCTTCAATGGAGGAGAGAGAAAGGTGGGCGGATGAACAGAGGAGAAGAGAGAGAAAATGGAAGTAAGGCTGACCCTAACCATTATTATTGGACTTTTTATTTTAATTCTTAAGCCCTGTCCATTAAAAAATAAGACCCTGTAAAAGCCTTATAAAATAGGACCCTATAAAGGCCCTGTCCATTAAAAAATTAAAGGGTCAAAACTGAAAGTAGAACGTTGACACAGGAAACTGTTAAAGAACTAAGGACTGGCACATAGAGTGTTTATGAGATGAATTGGACCAACATGGTTGATTGCAACATGGAATGGGATTGAGTTATGGAACAAAACATTTTTGAAACTAAATTTTGCAGCAAAAAACTTGTGCACCTGTATTATTGTCTAACTGTGCCAGCTGGCATGTTTGAACGTATAATGACCCTAATTTTTTCATAATTAATTCTAATATGAACATATTGACTTTAGTTCTTTATTAACACTTGTGTGGTCGTATGGACTTAATTCGCAAAAATATTTTTGTAGACCTTTATATTAGTTTTACACGTGCAACCCGACATTATGCTACAAATCTCTAATTTTAACATATTGACCTTTATATTCTTATTGTCCAATATATTAAAACTCTCATCATTAACTATTTAATCTCTTATGATCTTTATTATAACACAATGAACTTTATTTCAACATAATAACAACATTTTTTTTGGAAATAGCGACATTTTTATTACTCCCTCTGTCCCTTAATTAAAAGCCTATTTGGGTTTTTTCACGGAATTTAAGAAAGTTGGTGGAAGTACATAAGTGCATGTGTGGTCAGAGAGAGATAGAGAGGAAAAAAAAAGTGTTTGGGAATAATTGAAGAGAGGGAGAGAGAAAGTGTTGGAAATTGATCTAAAAAATCATCATTAGTACAAAAAAGTGATGACAATTCATCAAAAAGTGGTGAATATTCTCAAATAAGACAACCTTAAAATAGAAATAGGCTCTTAATTTTGGCTCTCCAACCAAAAAGGCATACAGACTCTTAATAAAGAGACGGAGGGAGTAATATAGGGATTTTATTTTAAGATATCAACATTTAAACATAATGATCATAATATTAGTAGTTTAGCCATGGAAAAATAAAAATTGTACAAAAAGATAAACGAGACAAACAAAAAGAAAGAAAACAATTGATACTTTTTAAAGTTGACCTGAATGTGACAACTCCAAACTCATTAAAAAGTCATTAAATTAAGAAAAATTTGTCAATTGCAGCCATTTAAAATTTATATTTTGTAAATTGCAGCCATTTAAAAAAAATTGCAAATTGCAGCCCAAAAGTACTAATAAATTGTAAATTACAACCCAATTAAATTATTTCATCGATTTGTGTGTCGAAAAATGTTTCGTTAAGGTTTTAGGGGCCATGTTATTCCTTAAGGTTCCAAAATGAGCTCGGAGTTGACAAAAAATTAACGTAAGTGCCTCGTTTTCACGGCAAAAAATAGTTGCTCACAAATGGATACATTTTTTATATGTAAAACGAGGCACATATGTTATTTTTTGCAAATTCCGAGCTCAATTTGGGTCCTTAAGAACTAAAATGACCCCTAAAACTTTAACGGAACATTTTTCGGCACATAAATCGATGAAAAATTGAATTGGGTTGAAATTTACAATTTATTAGTACTTTTGGGCTACAATTTTTAAATTTTTTTTTAAACGGCTGCAATTTAAAAATAACCAAACTTTAAATGGCTGCAATTGACAAATTTTCCAATTTAAGGAAAAAACTTATAAGTTTACGCTTTATTAATATATTACACCTCTCATCAACTTTGTTACTCCCTCTGTCTCCTTTTTTTTTGCCCCATTTGACTTTTCACGGTCTTCGAGACGTGATTTAAAACGTAAACATCTTTAGTTCTATAAGCATAAAAATTATAAATTTTTGATATTAATAAAATACACAATTACACGAATCCAACAAAATCCCACATGACTATATTATCTCTTATAAATTAATGGGAATTTGTTATCAAAGTTATGAAAAATTAACCCAAATATTGGCTATGGAGCAAAAAAAAAAAAATAGGGACAAAGGGAGTATCAATCAAATTAAAAAACTCAAAAGCATTTTATTTGATTTAATAAAGCAAGATAATACATGATAATATGATACAAAAACTACATAATGGCTTATTAATAAGGTTTTTCTCCTGGGATGTTTCCTGCAGGATCATAAACACATACAAATAAAGGCCATAAACCGCAAGTAACACTAGCACATCCGAGGCGGACCGATTTACGCCAAACAACTTGTGTATAAGCCGAACAATCTTTACCTTTGGCACATGAATTTGATGGGTAGTTATAATCAGACTTTTGACCAACCCAGCTACCAATCGATTGCCCACTACTCAAGAAACCATAGCCTATACCAAGGTTTATACCATATGGAATCTTTGAACCCAAGTCTGTTGAACAACTAGGTTTCTTGTTAGCAAAGTCTTGAGCATAGGCTTCAAGCTTTTTGTCCCATGTATATGGATCTACCCCGACATCGCGGCGAGCAGCGTTATGGCCATCTAGGAAGATTTTATTGTCACCGGGTTCAATTTGGGATGAACAATGTTTGAATAAGAATGTTATGGTTAAAAGTAAGGCAATCAAAAATAGGAGTGACCTCATTTTTTTTGGGGTGGAATTCATTGGAACTAAATGCCAATGTAATTGCTAGAGGAGGAGCATATGAATAATGTATGTGTTACTTACAATATTTATAGGATAAAATCATTTAATGGGGCAAAATTTGATGTACTATCTTTGGTATGTTATCTCACATGATCTTCTATATAAGGAAATAGATAACTGATGATAAAAAATATTATCTCAATCAATATTTTCTATACTAATAGTGATCTGTCATTGGTATTCATATATATACTGCAGTATCCTTGCTCTTTCAAAAAAAAAAAATAAAAAAATACTGTAGTATCCTTGCTAGGTTCGACTAAAACTATTGAGCTGTTTTGACTTCGTAAATAATACTAGAAATCTATTAACTATTATTAAAACAAAACGTTGTTGATATCATCACTGTTGACATGTTACTCTCATAATAAAAAATTTCCCGCCTAAATGCAAGGATGATGTCTTTTTTTTTTTCTTTTGGAGCTATCATATTTAATAATTTTGAAATTTGAATATTAGAAGCTTCTACATTACAACTACAACCTATCAATTTATCCTTAATAAAAAATAAAATAATTTTAAGTAGCACACTAATAAATAGACTCCTACATTGAAATATGTATTAGACGACGTTGAACAGGTATTATATCATAATTTTGATGAAAATCTAAAATTTTAAAAGTACAGATATTTTTATACAAGGTGCATAATTCTTATTTATATTTATCCATTTTATATAAACTGTGCATCGCACGGATTCCAACCTAGTTAAATAGCTTAAAACAAAATAAGGAGTAAAATATAACAAAAAATAATAAACTTTATCGCCACCATTGTGTTTTATTTGATTGAATTTGATATGCATTTATTAATTTTGGACTTTATTGGCAAAAGTTGTACATTTTTTCAATCACTAAATTATTTAGTGTGTAGCCCCAGCGTTGTACTGGATTGCTACTTTTAAACACAACATTAGTAAAAAAAAAAGAGGACTTAAAGAGAATAATTCACTATTGTCTTGGAATTGTTGAGGTTATTCCACTTTATTCATTTTTTCAGGCTATGGTTAGTTAAAAATATATTTATCTATGTGTATATAAAAATAAATCATAAATTACTTTTGGCTGAGATGGTAAGAAATGTGATCTTATTTATGAGGTTCAATGTTGTGCCGTAATGTTAGTTAAATAATGATGTGACGCAATGCTATTGCAAATCTACCCGTGGGTTCCGGCTCTGATTCCATGAAATTTAATAAGGTACCCTGTTAAAAGAGGAAAGTATAAATAAAATACTTCGTAAATAATTACACTGATTTACGCGTGACTTTATCATCCAATCTTAAATTATACCAAAATAAGGAAAGATAATTTAATGTCTATTTGTATCCCTATAGCATGAACCTTGTTCATTAAAAAAAAATAAAAAATAATAAATAAAGCATTACCCTATATAGAATTAACCTACTACCTAGTACCTACTTACCTACTTGAGGATAGTAAACAGAACGAATATGAACTGAACTTTAAATGTTGTCTTTGTTATTGACTTATTGTTATTCTTTGTTGTGAACTAATTCAATATGTTGCCTTTCTTGTTGTTATTCTTTCTCAATATTAATTTTGTAAGTATGGTTAATGATCTCCACAATTAAGTCTCCTATATCTTGTAATTTAATTCCTCCAATTTTTTGGACTAAACACTTTGAAATTTTCATTATTATCATATTACAAATTGTTTATTTTGGTGATTTTTTCATAAGGTAAAAAATTAGATACGTTGGGTCTTATTAAATTTTTCGCAATTTGTGTTCTTCAAATATCAAATATTTTTAATTTTATGTAATGAAAATTACAGATATTAATGGTTGAGCATATACATACATTTGTAAATGCAAAAATAAAATGTTCATCTAAATAAAAACAAAGGAAGCATTTTTAGTCAAATGCCAATGAAATATTCAAATACATATAGGTTGAAGAGTAAGATATTTTAATCAAAAAATATTAATTTGATTTTAATATTATTGTTACATTCAAATTTAAATTATTTCGGTTACTTAAATAATTATAGGTTTACTCTACTTTTTAATTTGGTTTTATTGATGATATATTTAATTACATCTAAAATTTATATAAAGACTAAATTTTGTAACAACTATATTTACTCGTTGAATTTAGATATTCAGTTTAATGTAAATAGCCGTTTGACTTCAGATTACAATAGCCAGTGATATATAACTCATTTATGATTGGAATATTATGTATTCATTAACTACTCCCTCCGTTTCGTATTGATTGAAACAAAAGGGTGTTCATAATTTTAAGAAAATTTATAGGGTGGGGTCCAAAAGAGAAATTTTTATAATATAAAGTATTGTTGGTTGGAGAGAAAAATAATAAAAAGTACGAGTAGTATAAGTGGGGTTAATAGATTAAAGAAATAATAAAATATTTGTGAAAGTGGGGTTAGTGAGAGAGAGAAATTATAAAATAATGGTGGGTCTTTTCCAAATATAGAAGTGTTGCAATTAATATGAAATGGATGTAAAAGGAAAGTGTTGCGATTAATACGAAACATAGGGAGTAATAAATGAGTGTTGACCTTGATTTAAAACAATTGCCGTAAAAGGATGTTAAAGATCAACACTTAATGACAAAATATTTAATTGAGGGGATATTGATTGCTTGAAGTAAAAAATAGTGTTTTGTTGATTTATTATTGTAAAGGTTGCGCTATCTTCATTGGTGGTGTATAAAATATAATTTGAGCATCTATACTTATATATTAAAAAGCGTTTCTAATAGCTGACATGTGTCACGTGGCACCCTTCATATGTATTAGAAGTATGTCATATCATCTAATCTGCCACATCATTCATTTTACTATAAACATGTTTTTTTTTTAGAGGGAAAGAGAGGGAATCATATTCATTCAATTGAGGACAAATTGTTCATAAGTACATATGGAGCAATGTCACTAGGACAACAATTAGACCAAAGTTGTTCAACACCATACGTAATAACACGAGCTAGATGGTATGCTACAAAATTCCCTTCCCGCTTTACATGAGACCAAGAAATAAAATCAAAGAAAGTGCAAGTATCTAAGACATCGTCAAGCAAGGAGTCCAAGTCCAAGAGATAGGTGGAAGCCTTCGAAGCCTGGATATAACTGTGCTATTATCAGATTCTAGGATGACATTTCTGAGGCCAAATTGCTTCGCCAACCAGACTGCAAATATTGCTGCTTTGCACTCTGCCAATTCAGGGGTCCACTGAGCTTTATACCTTCGAACACCAGCAAAAAGGACCTCTCCCAGTTGGTTGCGAGCTACGGCGCCAAGACCCACCCAGCCATCAATGTTCAGGGCTGCATCATAGTTGATCTTGATGCAACCTTGCGGGGGTGGCTTCCAGATCTTCGAGCTTTTAGGAGGCCTAGGAGCTTTGCACCCATAAATCTTGGCGTTGTATTTATTATAGTCTTCCACAAGGTTGGACATACGCATGAGGAAAACATTGTGTGTGTAGTCTCCTTGTTGTTGAAAATCTTATTGTTACGCCTTTCCCAAATTAACTAGAGGAGAGCAGCACCTCTTTATTGAGTCTTGACATCCTCACAGCCCCAAGCTTCAATAAGATCTTTGAAATCGGGGAAGTCATCAATCTTCACAAGCTTTTCGGAATTGGCTTCAATCCACAGGTCACGGACAGTAGTGCAGTTAATTAAAGAAGACATGGTGTAGGGTCTCACTCTTCGTCAAGCACCAAGGGCAAGAGTCCTCATCCGCCATATGCCTATGCTTTAAAAGAGAGCGAACAGGAACAAAGTTGGTACAAATTCGCCATAGCAGGTGTCTAACCTTAGGTGTAGTCTCAAGCTTCCACAAATTCACCCAAGCTTGATGAAATAGGTCAAGGTTGCACGATTTTCCCAGCATGTAGGCAGTCTTCACCGAGTAAAGAGCATCATTAGAGAAAACCCATGTGAGCTTGTCCTCTGGGTTTCTCATGCTAAGTGGAATCGAGAGTATACACTTGATGTCACGCTCATTGAAAGTGTCGACCAGCAACTCATGGCTCCAATCCATCGCCTCAAAGCTAATAAGATCACTGACATAATTCACCAAATCAGAACGGGACAAGAGGATTCTTGAACCATGCTCATCAGCTACCCAAGGGTCGTCCCACACATTGATGCTGCTGCCATTCCCAGCACACCAAATAAGGCCTTCTTTAACCAAGGCTTTAGCACCCCAAATGCTCCTCCATGAGTAACTACAAGATAGGCCTAAAGAGGAATTCAGAAAATCACTATGAGGGAAGTATTTTTTACCCAAAACTCTGCTCAACAGCAATTCTGGGCTCGTGATAAGCCGCCATGCTTGTTTACCAAGCATAGCTTCATAAAAAACCGCCATGTCTCTAAAGCCTAGACCACCCAACATCTTCGGATTACAAAGAGAGTCCCAACTCACCCAATGAACTTTCCGGCGATTGTTAGAGTGACCCCACCAAAACTTCGCAGTCAAAGATCGGATCTCACCAATGATAGTGGCCGGAACTCTTTAAACCCCCATAATGTAAGACAGGATTGCTTGGATAACCGATTTTATGAGGGTCTCCTTTCCCACACGTGATAAAATTTTCTGCTTCCACCCCTGCAATTTCTTCCAAATTCGATCCTTGAGAGCACAAAATATTGCTTTCTTCGATCTTCCCACAATTGTTCAGATGCCAAGATACTTACCATGCTCATCCACAAGTCTTATTCCCAAAAAAATCCACAAGCTCCTTTCGCACTGATTCACATACGCCTTTGCTAAAAGAGACCTTCGATTTTTCATAATTGATTTTTTGTCCGGAAGTTGCTTCGTATTTGTTGAGTATATCAACTATCTTCGAGCATTCTCTTCGATTGGCTCTTGCAAAAAGCAAACTATCATCAGCAAAGAAAATATGGGACCATTCCGGCTAGCCTGAGCACCATGAATCTCCCCCTGCAATACGGCCCTATTAATAAGACCAGAAAAAGCATCTGCGATCATGATAAATAAATACGGGGATAACGGATCACCTTGTCTCAAACCCCTCAAGGGCTTAACCTCTCCACACATTGCACCATTAATAACAAAAGAATAGGAGACCGTCGAAACACATCTCATAACTGTCTTCACCCAAAACTCTGCAAAACCCATCCTTAACAATAGTTTCTCCAGAAATGGCCATTCCACCCGATCATAGGTCTTGCTCGTATCCAACTTTAAAGCTATCGTCCTTTTCTTCCCTTTATTCCGCTCTTTCATAGTATGAAATAATTTCAGAGCTATAAAGGCATTATCAGTAATCAATCGCCCCGGAACAAAGGCGCTTTGATTCTCAGAATTAATGTCAGGGAGAATAGACTTCAAACGCATCACAACTGCTTTAGAGGCAATTTTACATAGCACATTACAGAGAGCAATTGGCCTCAATTCAGTCATATTACGAGGATCTTTTACCTTGGGAATCAAAACAATATTTGTGCAATTGAATTCTGCCGGAGAAACAATGCCATGAAGAATATTGCACACAATGGTAGCAACATCATCCCCGATAATATGCCCGAATTTTTGGTAGAAAATTGCATGAAGACCGTTAGGACCGGGAGCTTTACAGGGATGCATTTCACAAATTGCAGAGTAGATGTCTTTTTTCATAAAAGGCCGGAGAAGGTGAGCATTATCATAAGAAGAAATAGATGGGGTGATGGCCTCAAGAACCTCGGTGCATGAAGCTTCAAAGTGCGGACCTGTGGCAAAAAGTTTGGAGTAGTAGTCTTGAACTATACCCTCGACTTCCTCCCCTGCTGTACACCATTCCCCCCTCTCATTAAGCAAACCTACAATTTCATTTTTCTTCTTCCGTTGGGATGCTTTATGATGGAAGTATTTTGTGTTCTTGTCTCCGTATTTTATCTTAGCCGACCTCAATCTCAAATACCAATAGGCTTCCTGTTGCTCATAAACCTTGTCAAGCTTCTTTTCAATTTCCGCCCCAAGCCAGATGTTTGCCTCGGAAATCACATCTTCTTGAACCGCCTTGAGCTCTTGCTTTAGATCTTCAATTTGTTTATTAAAGTTAACAAATTTTTTTCTACTCCAACTTCGCAAAGACCCAAGTAATCTTCCCAGCCGATCAAACATGAGACAACCCTACGTATCCTTCCAAGTTTGCTTGACCACTTGTTCACACTCGGTATCAAGTGACCATGTTGTTTCGAATTTGAAAGATTTCTTCCCTCTTTTACGTTTTCGCTTAGGGCGCCTTTGTCTTATCAGAATGGGGGTTGTGGTCGGATTTGAATCTGACGAGGTGCTCCACAAAATGATCTGGAAACAAAGAAAACCACTCCTCATTGCCACAAAAGCAATCCAACCTCTCACGGACAATAGTAAAGGAAGAGCGACCTCTTTCCCATGTGTACCATTGGCCCTCAAAGCCCAAGTCATGTAGTTTACAGTCATCAAGTACATCACGAAAATCACCCATAGCTCTACGTTCATTATCAACACCCCCCTCTTGTTCATCCATAATAAGAATTTTGTTAAAATCACCCCCAAATAAAATCGGACCATCAATGTCCTCACAAAGAGATTTAATAAGGAGCCAGGTCTTGAATTTCGGCCGAAGCCGGTCAACCATAAATGCCAACAAAATACCACACAAAATCTGCTTGCATTACTTTACCACAAGTGTAGTGATTATTAGAGAAAGAAATAAGTTCAAAATCAATAAGACTATTGTTCCAGTACAAACACAAACCTCCAGAAAGACCTACACTACTCACACCAAAAGCACAATCGAAACCTAATCTATGCTTGAACTTCTCTGAAGCAACTTTATTAATCATGGTCTCATAAAGGAAAACATAGGGGCAAGAGAAGCACACCATTTGCGAAGTGCCCCTACAGCTCAAGGGTTGCCAAGTCTTCGAACATTCCAGCAGAGGGTATTCATTGATTTTCGAGGGGTTGGTTGTGTCCAACACCCTCTACTTGATTTATACCGTCTCCGGACTTAAAAACATCAGCTACTTTCCCCTTCTTCACGCTAGCAGCACACATTTGATCTTCCCCCGCATGTCTCTTGCGGTTGTCTAGGATACTCAAGCTTGATTGCACAGCAGCCCCCTCCTTGCTTCGAAGCAAAGCAGCTCTATCCTTTCTCTTCCACCCACCCCTTTTTGATATTTGAGATTCGGTATCTTGCATAGTCTCATCCTGGTACAGAGGGAGTGCGTGGCTATTCACATTATCAGGGAAAGAATTGGCGTGGGTTGGGGGTCCAAGCACAGGTGCCACAATATTGCTTGGATCATTGACAATCGTCAGTCTATACCCATCCCTATTATCTTCCAGCAAAATAGGAATGTTACTTCTCACATCCCCCTCCTTTGGGCCTAAAGCACTCTCCTCCTCCATTACTTTTTCCTAATCAGCGTCATATGTCTGGGAAGGGAATTTCGGGGCAATCTCTTCAATACTCTTCAGTCTTAGCACCATCGTTGAGTTGCCTCCAACTTTCTCAGCTACTAGTCGGACCTTTCTTGCAGAGTGAGCAGGGACAACCTCAATGCCACCATAAGAGAGCTTCGGGGAGTCAAATAGAAGCTTTCATGCAGCCCCTGAGGGGCCTAGTTTGATAACACCTGGATCATCAAAGCCTTTCAGTTTGGCAAAAGAGTAGGCACTCAGGGTTTCTCTCCACTTCCTTTCCTTATCCCTTTCATTCGGATTGTATTTGGCATGTTTTCTTGGGGTTGCACGAATCCATGGTCCATTCTGAAAGACTAATTCCTCATCCTCAAACCTTGCCAACTCTTTAGAGTGACAATCACGATCAGTGTGGTTAAGCGTACCACAAAAGAAGCAAAAGTCAGCAAGCCTCTCATACTTCATATCAATCCACTTCGACGAAGTAGTACTCGTTGCTAGCTTAAATCCTCTGCACAAAGGCTTCCTAATATCAACATTAATATTCAATTGAACAAACTCACTCCATCCCAATGGGTCCTCATCATCCAGTTCAACAAAACCCCCAAGGAATTCTCCTACATCATACATGGTAAAAGCATTGCGCCTGTTAAAAGGAACATCGAGCAAACGAACCCACATTGGCGTATGGGTGAAAATGATCTCGAGGGTTGTTCATCCCGTTGGAGTTCTTTCAATAGCAGAATTTTATCGTTAAAAAACCTCGGACATCCTTCAATGACACGGTCTTTATCGCTTTCACAAAAGAATTGGAAAACGAAAAGGTTAGTTTCCACAACCCTAATTGCTACACCTTCCTTCAATCTCCAAACCATTTGCAGAGTGCGTTTAATCGCCTCCAAATTATAGGGTTTGATTGTGCACAATTATTCCACCAGAGTCAGTCTCAATTGGATGTTTGAGCCCTCGATATCAAACTCAAGGGATTCTCCTCCAATCACTGCAACCTCATCCTCTGTAAGCTTCAA